TTTAAACAAGCAGCTGTTTATTATGTGCATTAAAGTTATATAAAAAATTTACAGCGAAAATGCAAATTCCTTGCTGACAGTTTAACCAAAAGGCATTTCTAGTGGAAACTGGACAACATATCCTCAGAATAACCATGTATAATAGCCACAAAACTTAAAAACAATACGGTAATATTATGTTGAAGAACAGTACGTATCACTCCGCGAGGCTCCTGCCTACGATAGCCGTAATGCTCCGACAATCCATCAAGCGGTGCGGGTTCGTAGCTTAGCAAAGTCGTACTCAAACATTTGACAGATTTTCGAGCACCGTGTACATAAAATCGTTTCGAGGTCAGTAAACACAACCAGAATTCATACATAAGGCACACGGGATTATAAGGGACACTGTCGATTTTCAGAAAAAATCAAAGGCTTGATTTTAAGTGTGCCGTATTTTCCAAAAAAACACGGTAATAACAACAGCCCGCTAGCATGCACTACCAAAAATAGTGCTTTGTTGTGTATGTGACGGACGAAAGCTAAACCAGTTCCACACCACTGAAGTTGCAGCATTTTTACAAACCAATTCTGGTTCACCCGTTTCATTATACCGGTATTACCGTGAACGGTATGATATGGCCCAGCCCTACTTGATACAATTCTGTGCATTTGCTCTCAGAGGCTTTCTATCAGGAGCCACAAATTCACACCTGCCCTCACTAGTTTTCCAGAGCTATTTTTGTCCACTTCACAGCTTTTGCTGGACTAAGAATAGCAACTGATGAATGAAACTTGTGTGTGAATACGAAAGGCCATTTGGCAAGTCTTTGCTCACTACAAGTGTTACTGCTTTCTCTGCTTTGTTACCTGCATTGAAACACCACTTCACCGACTTTAACTGTACAAGCTGCAGGTCTGATCATGTCTTCTACCTATATTTAAGCTTTTGAACAAGAACTGAAACTTCCGGGTTAAAAACAAAACATATATTTACCACATCTCATCTTTATTTCCCTCCCTCGTCTTCCTGTCAGCCTTTGTCACCTACATTACCAATTTCAAGTTGGACACTAATTGCTGAATCTTGGCCATTCCGGTAAAAGGCAGGAACAACTTCAGCTATTCATAGCCTTCCTCTTCTGAGCTCACAGAAATGAACTGGCAGTCCCATGGGGTGTGTGTGTGTGGGGTGGGCTGTGCAATCTGAGATAGGTCTAATGCTTCCCACCACAGCGTTGGGACTATGCAGCAAAGAGGAAGACGAGCCTTACAAAGGGACCAGTGACTTTTTCCTCAAGGTCAAAGCAGTTGGTATGAACTGAAGCAGATAAAGCATGTGAGCGTCCCCAAAATACTTCTCATCACTCGTTTTGTGCATCGAGAAGATTTGGAAGTGCAGTATGCATCACTGATTCTTAATTTGTCACACTTAAGATTAGCTAGAGGCCTCGTGGGCATATAGAAGGACGGTTTAAGCTACATTAACAAAGCTTATGTGCCATTTAACAAAATAAAAACTTCCCTTTAGACTGTGTAGTGTCAGTAGGGAACAGAGGACCTCATATGTCAGACAGCAAACTGCTGCACAGCTTGTAACTGACCTGTTTTCCCTCTGTGGTTGTGCATCGTATCTGTAGCTCTACTGTATTGGTAGCAGGCAAGTAGCTTGGTTTAGCTATGATATTTTAACTGTTTCATGATACACTTGCGAGTACCTTGTACTTGCCTTTGTTTTTGCTTTCTTGTTCACGCCCACCTTTTAATGCATGCACAGTTTGTATGTTTGCAAGAATAAACTTGCAGTTTGTCTCAGAGCTGCACATGTGTCACTGATACTAAGGTCTAAAGATGGAGGCTGATTTGCATGCTACATACTCAACCTACTACCACTTGCATGAGGCAAATCCACAAGTCGCACGTCCCACTTACCTTTACTTGTATAATCCTTTCTTACCACACACTTGGTCACAGTAAAATGTGTTTGTTGGGTTAGTTTACCTTGAATACTTGAATGTAGAGTTCTTATCAAAATAAAAAGGCAGTCATTGTTTTGAAAGTTTTGAAATGATGTAGGGTGAATCTGGTCAAAAGGTTGTTAATCTTTTGGAGTGTAATCATGATCCACAATCTAATTTTAATTTGGCTCTGCTGTGGGTGTTCATTTGGTGGCCCATGCAGAAGGTTTGTCACCTCGGTTTAAGCGCTAAAAGCTCATTTCACCCATTACTGCATCTTGTTTTTGTTTAATTTTGAAAGCTCGGAGTGACTAATGGTTTATCTCAAGAGCCTTTTTTTGCACTTGCTTTTCTGTTCTTCATTGTTCATTTACCAAGTTTACCAAGTTATTCATTCACAATACACAGTCATTGTTTCCAGTAATTGTCCTAATTGTATATTATCTATCTACACATCCTCCTAACCTCTTATCCAGTTCAGGATTTGGAGACTGTCACCGCTGTCACTGGGTAAGAGGTGGGATAGCTTCGGGACTGGCTACCACAGGGCCATGTGCGATTGCTTTAACTGTTTTAATCAGTCATCCTTTAAATGACTCGCATAGCAGAACTTTTATTTAATGACTTTGTCAGTATAATATTGCCAAAAAGCAGATCTTGTCTTAAATTTAAACTGCCCTGTCATCTTGGACCTGTCTACACATCTTCCTGGAATTCGATCAGGGTCACTGGCATGTGCTTCACAGCAGCTTCATGGTTCTCAGACTCTTGCAACAGGCGGAGAGAACAAGGTCCCAGAAGGACGTCATTTTAAAGGGGAAGCCTTGGCTGGTAGCATACACCACTTTTACCACAACATGCACATTGCACTTATACTCTATTTCTCACAGTCATTACCAGATGTAAACAAATGGATGCGATGCCTGCGATGGTTCTTCATGCAATGATTCAGCAGTATTAGATAAACTGCACAACAGTCCCCACTGGCAGGGCAAGTAGCCACTTTTGTATTTGGTAAGGATAACCAAATACAAAGTGAAACTAACTTAAATAATATTTTCTATAAAAAAAAAATAAAAAAAAATGAACAACCAGGTTTGGTGATGTTGTTGAACTGACTTTTTTCCCCATTTTTATTTTTTGAAATGGTTAATCAAGTAAAAAGGGCAGTGCAGTGGGTGTGAATCCACTATCTATCTGCCTGGGACCTTTCTGTACGGCACACATGCCTTCTCTCTGTGTGCACGTGGGTGGTTTCAGATCAGGTACTCCCACAGTCTAAAGACATGCAGTTAGTGGGGTTAGATTATTTGTTTGTTTTTTTTTTTTTTTTTTTAAATTGGACATGGGTTTGAATGTGAGGGTGAATGGTTGTCTAAGATAAACAAAGATGAACCGCAAGCCCTCAATAGAAGAAAGTACATAGAAGGATGATCAGTAAAAGTGTAGACACGACAGGAAAAAGTTGAAACACTGTGATAAGATGATGATGGCTGTAAAAAGGTATAAAAATACAGATATGATGAATGTGATAATTTCATGGTGCTGTCAGTTTGTCAGTGTCCTATAATTGTTCAGTTTTAACATGAACGTTCAATTTCCCCACTGTGCATTTCTTCCTTACGTCATCTTTAATAACTTTAGTCACTTTATCATCTTTCATTTGATGGGATCAATCAAGAAGTATCATGAGGTAGTGACTCTGGTAGGTCAGACTAGCAGGGAAATGCATTAAGTCCTTGCATGTTTTAATAAAATCATCAATACATGGAGCCAGCCTGTCAATAGTCCCATCATAGCAGAAAGCATTATGACATATTGTAATGCTGATGGTTTGTCCCACTTCTAGGCATCAAGCGCAATAGTATTTCTGGCCAGGTTTACCCTGTACGATCCAAACAAATGCATTTTTATTTCATTTGCTCAAAGAAAGTGGTGCTGATGGTCTTCAGACGTCTTGATCTGTTCCTGTCAAGCTTAAAGTTGCATTTTTTTTTCTTTTTTCTGTTTTGTATGTTGTTCTTTTTGAACACAGTCTGTAAAAGCTGACCTCATCCAACGTTCCTCGTCATCACCGACACACCAGTATTCATAGATAATAGTTCAGTGACTCAGTAATGCTTTTCAAAGCGAGATTTTGTAAACAGTCAATTGAGGAGTTTGTCACTGGTAATATGTCTTTTCCTGTACCTGTAACAGCTGCTGAGCTTTATGAATTTACACATACTGCTTTATTTGTTCAGTGATTTCTTACTCATGTTGCTTTGAACCCAGCTCAGTCTGAGAAAACCGTGCAGTTCTTGGTCAAACTTTTCCTTGCATTGATGGTGTCCTATATTTTCAAATTTCAAACAGCCTGACTTTAATTTTATTTACAAATAAGAATAAACACACTGCACTTAAATGAATACAACTACTGTAGGGTGATGTATATTTTGCACATAGTATTGATCTGCACTCAGCTTTGTGTATTGCTGCCTCTGTCACTCGAAGAGTGAGGTGGTGACAAAACTCTGACTGTCCTTCAGTTCCATATATATTTTCAGATATTTCAAAGGAAAGCAATGCAACTTGTTTATGTTGACACATCCCAGTAAATTCTTTGTAGGAACACACAACTGTCTTTTCTGTAGACCGAAGAGTGTTTTTTAAAGACTTCAGGAACATTAATGCGGTGTGGCTTTTGTGCTCAGTGGATTGGATTTTCTTTTCTTGTTCACATTGGCTTTGTTGGAAGTAAGAACACTAGTAGCACTCAAGGCTGTTCTGCCCATCCATCTGCATTTGAGCATCCACTGCTGTGTGATCTGAAGCCAAGTACAATCACTCCCACATTTTTCCTTGTCTGCTGCTGAGCAGCATCAGTGCATCTCAACGAGCGAATGTCTAATAACAGTTATTTTAATTCAGAGAAAACAAAGGAACGTGTATAACACAGACATGTTCCCTCCTGATGAGCATTTTGCCTGACTGTCTGAAGACCGTAGAAAACGATCACTAAATGTTTATCAGTTTCTCATCTGGGTTAATGCTCACATATATTTTTTGTGTCTGTCTTTGCAGAATGTCAAACCCTTCTCCTCCTCAGACAGCCTAGCGAAGGTCCAGGAGGTAGCAAGCTGGCTTTTGGAAATGAACCAGGAACTGCTGTCGGGGGGCAGCAGCAGCAGCGGCGGGCGGAGTCGGGGGCCTGGGGGCCCGGCAGTGCGAGGTAACGCCTCCTCCACGGCTCGGGCACCCCAGCAGGCGGCAGAGGAGGGCGATGAGGATGAACACATGAACAGGGTGGTTGAGGAGGAAGAGCAGCTGCCGCAGAGGGTGAGGCAAACTGACATTTAAGAAATTTGTGATTTCAAAGTTGATTAGAGAAAATGTCTGTGGAAATATGAACTTGCGTAAGAAGACTTAAGTTATGTAACCTAAACATCGAAGTTTGCGTTAGATTCAGTTTGGTGAGCAGGCAAGAGTCTCTGTGCAAGATCACATGCAACAGATTGAGTTTCTCACGAGATCATTCCTCACTGATACTGTATTTTGTTTTTCTGGCTCTTCACAGCCCGAGGCGTCGCAGGTTGATGGCGAGCGAGAACAACCATGGGCGCCGAGCGAGTCCGGAGCCAGCGACGGCCCTCGGGAGGACGGGGAAGGGGAGGAAGACGAAGAGGGCCTGCCAAACGGCGTGAACGGAGGTGACAAAGGAGCCCGATGGATGTGGGGGGCAGAGCAGCGACGACTGCGAGGGCAGCCGCTTGCTGCTGAAGAGGAGGAAGAGGAAGAGGAGGAGAACAACAATAGCAGCACCCACCAAGAGGAGGAGGAGGAGACAGAGGAGAGGACAGAGGGAGGGGAGGAGCAGGGGAGGGAAGAGGAGGAGCGGGAAGAGGGTGAGGAGGAGGAAGAGGAGGATGAGGAAGAGATGGACCAAGACAGTGATGACTTTGAACATTCAGCGGAGAGCGGGAGGGAGGAGGAAGAGGAGGAAGGCTCTCTCTCTCTCAGGAACAGTGTGTCTGCCCCTAATAATAATGAGGACTCGGGATGTACACGCCAAAGCTCTTCCAACAAAAAGGTAAGCAAAGCTATTTGTATTGAACAGTTTACACTGGAACTGCTTTCCAGTGACGAAAGTAGTTCCAGTGTAAACTGTTTAAATGTGTGCGGGATATTTTTCGGTGCTGTGAGCATCACCATTAAGGATGTCGCTGCAACTCCAGAAAAACTTATTGTTTATATCATTTATACATCTCTGTGTGAAACTGTTGAATGTGTTTCACTTGCGCCTACGTGGTCCATATTTAAGATGGTAGCACCCTCTTGTGGAAAACGCTTGTTATTGCAGGAGCTGAACCATCTGCTTGGAAATAATTGGATACTGGAACTGCATTATATATTTGGAAGGACAAGTAAACATTGTTGAAAAATTATAAAGATGAACCTGAATGGCTGAGATGAAAAGTATAAAAGCATTGTTTTAAGTAAGTGCTGGAATTGCATTTGTTAATGGCAGTTTTGGCTCAAGACTGAGTTGATTCAGAAGAGAAAACAGCTGGGATTTGGGTTTAAATCTGTTCATGGTCTGATGTGTCTGGAAGACTTGAAGGCACGTTTTCCCCGTACTCATAAGTACACCAGATAGCCCCACCTTTTGCTATAGCATAGACCAGGGGTGTCAAACATAAGGTAAACGCACAAACATAAGGAAGTTTCACCGGCCCAGCCCGCATAAGGTCACAGGGAGCTGTATGTGGCTCATGACATAAACTTTGCCATCCCCGACAGTAGAGTGGACCCTCCTTGCCACTCAGTGCTGGCAGAGTAATGATAGAGTGCTGAGAGTTTTCCTTATAGTGACTGCTCACTCATATCAATTGCTGAACTTTTATGAAAATCCTGACACGTCAGTACCTGCAGGTGCAAATTAAAGGTTACTGCAAAGAATACGGCTTTGTGCCTCTCAAACATTGTCACCCTGTTGGAAGTTGTTTCTTCGAGGGTGGCAGAGCTCACCATATATTTGGAAATGATGTGAATCTTCAGTGTTCAAATCAACTGAACACTAGAGCGAGATCATGTGGCGACATGCTCGTCACAACAGCTCATAACGGCTACTCCGCGCTTGCAAGTTTGAGTGACAAGTCCTGCCTTGAACTGCATGATTACAATCAATGTAAAGGTGGCTGCTAATGCTTGTGAAGCTTGTTGCGACTTGAGGAAACTGATGCGAAGACTCTCCTGAAATATGTGGAGAAGAACTGTTTAAAAAGAGCAAAGTCGCTGATTCTTTCTGTTGTGACTTAGATAAAATGCTCATACTGGAGATGCGTATTTACTAGTGTACTAGTCTTTGCTTGATACAGTCTGATACTTTACTGAGACTTTTCATGGTATTTTTTTTCTCCCCTGTGTCGCACATGCATACTAATTTTGTCATGACAGGTTAATCCTGAGCATAAATATTAAAAGAAAGCACCATTTCCTTTCTCTGCTTTAGCTCTACTCCAGGAACATTTTGTACTGGCTTTTGCAGTAAAATAATAACCGCGTACTACACACGCCCACAGCCTGCTCCCGGAGACAGTATTTCATTCATATGTGCAATATCCAGGCGCTGTTTTAGGAGCTGGTAAAAGCACCTTCATGCCTCACTGATTGATGTCTGACATGATGTGTAATGATTGTAGCTGGAAGCGAGGCAGCGCTTGATGTTCTAAAACTAATTCAAAAGGCTCTGATGCACCAGTGCTTCAACAGTAACGCTGGTGTCTTGTTTCAGTGATGAGTCTTTCAGTGTGGCCTTCACAGCACCTATATTTAAAAGCCAGAAATCGAGCTGGTTGGGAAGTTTTCGAGAGGCTCAGCGTGACAATCATATTTTTGTTTAGCAATTTGGATGGAACGAGCAAAGTAGTAAATCTGTGGCTGACAACTTTTAGTACCAAAGGCTTAGTAAGTGTTTAGGTCTCCATCCAAATGTCATTGTTTAACAGTCTCTGTACATGGCAGATACTAACAACATATTTTCACTTTGCACATATTTGTTGTGTATATTTAAATTTTGAGCATCTTAATCCAATATTTGTCTAGTTCTTAGTCCCGTTTTGGCAGACATCCTGAGACTTCATTGGCCACTTATTTTAGGCATTATCTAATTTAACTTTAATATCACGGGGTCATGAAAATACATATCCCCCCACCCCGGAAATTAAACTTCTACCACAAATCTCCCTTATGTTTGTTTTAACTTTGACTTATAATTTCCATTGGCTGTCCAACGTTTGATACTATTTTGTCAGATTATTCCTTCCTTTTTTAATATACTCTTGGAGCAATGTGGAGGACTTAAGAGGAAAGTTCTCATCTCAGCAGTGACTGAAGTTATGGATTTTTCAATAGCTCTGCAGTCTTTGCTGTTTTGCTCTCTAAAATCTCTTTGAGCAATACTTTCAAGAAGTTTTAGTATAGATGTTGAAGAGCATGTGGCATTGTTTCCTGTGTGTCATACCAGAGAGTCTGTGTAGTGTGAGGTTTAGTGTGAGAGGCTTTGATGCTGATTTTGTCCTTGCTTATATTATCTTAAATATAGCCATTAGCCTGAATTTGCTCCCCCTGTGCCTCTCACTATCTGACACAGCTGTCAGATATGTTTTTCAGGGTCTCAGTCAGTGTAGTGGGCCAGCTGGCTTTGATGTTGATGAACACATTTATTTCAGCTGTGGATGCTGTATGCTTGGAATTAGGAGGTGGTGCAGGAGGACTGCTTTGACATTTATCATTAGTTCAAGTGAGAAGGTGAAGCTCAGAAGAAGAAGCTTGTGTAAGTCATTCATCACAGTCACACATGTATTGTTACTGAGCTGAATTGAGTTTTATTTGATACCCGAGGAGCAACCCCCCCACCCTCAAAAAAACCTTGAAAACTTAATTTCAGAACTCTGTGGATACAATATTAAAAAACTGATGTGATCAGAGGAGTAAAATAGAAACACGTCATGATATATGTGGTAAAATAACAAAGGTGGGTAGGAGGAACAAAGATGTAAATGCAGAACACAAAGAAAGGAGCTGGGTTGTAAAAATAACCACATTAGCTTAGGTTTGAAAGCAGAGCGACTGTGATACAGGGATAGAACTGGTTCCGGTGCTTTAAGACTATTCCTACCAGTCCATTCACCTTTGTTTCGCACTGAGCACATTGTGAAAATATGTGAACTTGTTGTCTAATGTAAATGCTCATTGCCCGGGTTGCGATTCTGCAGAAAATTTTTTTTGCTTTCCAGGGCATGGGTCGCAGGGGCAGGCAACAGGCTAAGCAAGGATGCCCAGACCTCCTACCTCCTCCAGCTTATCCAGGGGAACACAGAGGCATTCCCAGAGATGTAATCTCTCCAGCATATCCTGGGTCTGCAGTGGGATATGCCCTAAACACCTTACCCAGGAGCCATTCTTGCTTTCTTTCATTGTGCAGTAGCAGCAGTACTACTCTATGCCCGGATGGCTGAGCTCCTCACCCTGTCTCTTGAGTGAGAAGGCAGCAACCCTTTAGAGCAGGGCTGGGGGACTTACAGGCCTCAAGGGCCGGTGTCCTGCAGGTTTTAGATGCGTCTTTGATCCAACACAGCTGATTTAAATGGCTAAATAAGCTCCTTGAAGGTCCTAGCTCCTATGAACTAATCATTTAATTCAGGTGTGTTGACCCAGGGTGATATCTAAAACATGCAGGACACTGGTCCTTGAGGCCTGGACTTCCCCACCCCTGCTTTAGAGAAAGCTCATTTCCTCCTCCACTTGTATCGACCTCGTTCTTTTAGACACTGACAAAAGAAGTCGGGACCATAGGTGAGGATAGGGACGTATATCGACCAGTAAATCTAGAGCTTCACTTTTATACTTGGCTTTGTTTACGGCAGTAGACTGATGCAGCGTCACTACAGCCGCAGCCCCAGCCCATCTGTTTCCTGCTCCCATCAATTGTGATGATACTCAAACATAAAGCGATGATCAACTAAATTACAATAGGAAGACTGAGATTCTGGAGAGTTAGCAGCATGAGAAGTTAGCAGCAGGTGGTTTCACGGTTTGATCCAGGAGCTGAAGCTGTGTCACAGCTGTTCTAGAGCATAATTCAGGATGTCAGAGGTGCAGAGTTAGGACCACATCTGAGGAGTCAGAGTAATAATTTCAGAAAGCTGAAAAAATGGTACTTATCATTTATGTAGTCAGTACTGCAGCGCGGTTTGAGCTACGATGGCACTGTATTTATATTAGGTTACGTTTATATGCAGCTGTAAAATGGAGCAAAGTTTAGCAAAGAAGAAAAATAAATGCCTAAGAAATTGCACAGCTGCTATGTACAACTGCATTAAGATTAGGTGAGTAGAAACCACATTAAAAATTCAGACAGAATTTATGCGTCTGGTGTGGTCCACTGTTTCCGATACGATACGATAGAACTTTATTAATCCCTCGGGTGGGTTCCTCTGGGAAATTCGACTTCCAAAAAAAGCACAGCAACAACCGAAGTTACAGTTACAGTTCCATACAGGAAGGAGGTCCATGTTTTCAAACCCTGGTCTTTTTGTGTAGAGATTGCGCATGGAAAGGCGGGGGGGTCCTGCAGTCCACTTACATGCATACTAAGTTAACTGGTGATTGGCATTAGTTGTAAACATGAGCACAATTTTGAGCCATGTGGGTAAGCTGTAAACCTTTAAATATGATGATGAGCTGAGAAAGAGGATGGATAGCAGTTGAGTAGTCAGTAGACAAAAGGCATTGGATCTTGACTTGAACTTTTGATCTCTATGGGTACTGCAGCTAATTTACACGTTACCCTAATAGTCACCAAAGTTAGGATATAAAGACCAAATCTACCAGATGCTTTTTAGGTGTTCATTTCTCCATCTCTCTGCTGTAGAGCCAGCAAACACAAAGTGATACTATCTCACATAAACTGCCTCACTGCTTCACCCCTTTCTGAGTTAGTCTCCAAAAATTCGAGAGCTGCAGGTGCACCTACGAGCAAAAATGTTTCCTTCCGTCTCATTCTTCACACCCACGCTTTTTGAAGTTGATCACATCAAGTTACCATGGCGACTTTGTGCTGATGCACTACTCGGCCCCCTCATTGCTGCTTGAGCTATATTTGAATTTATTCTCTTATTTAAAGTGACCAGCAGCCCGTCCGTGTCTATTTACTGAGTCATTCATTCTTAAAATAATTCAGGTTGGTTTTAAAGACTCCATGGAGACAAATATTTCACTTGAAATATAAATCTGTTAATTTGGACTATTTACGAACTATAGGAGAATATATATTTGCAATCTGTGATGTTCGTTCATTTAAAGCTTAGAAATATTTTACCACGTTGGAGAACCAGAGTTAATGTGCTTGATTAGAGCTTGAGAACCTGATATTACATGACAGCATGGTTTGTTCCTGTAGTTCGGATAGAAAATGTGCAGTTCTGATGATACATGTGTGTCAACAGTGGAAGATCAGCACGTGTGTGGTTGGGTCATGTTGCTAAAGTTTGCAAACTTAAAAATCTATAATATATATAGATGTATGAAAGTTCAAGCAGCTCTGTAAAATTCTAAAGTTGAAAAATATTCCGCACTCTGCATGTCCCGGCATGTCCTGTGTGCACAGATTGTGTTCCCAGGTTCCAGGTGCCGTAGGCTCAAGTCGCCCAAATGAGAATCTTCACCCTCTCCTCTTACTCAACACTCCCATCTTGTGATCTTGTGCGAACAAGGTGAGACTTCGGGTCATGCTCATCAGTTGACCTTCTAAATACATCAAGAGCCTTATGAATCTAGATACTGGCTGCGCATTAAGATTGCTGAAGGTCTAAAGAGCAAAGATGGTCTGGATTCAACTGAAAACGTAACTCAGATTTACATTTTAAACACACTCCTTCCTGTTCAAAGGTATGTGAACTAAAAGGGCATGCAGAACATATGTTCATGTATTAAATAACTTAAATGAATATATGGTGTTGGGGTAACATGATCCCGCTTGGCTGTAGCAGGTGCATCTCAGTACAATGTCTCATATAAATTAGTCGATGGGAAGGCGGTTTATAAAAATAAATGTTTAAGGATATTTTAATTTGGCACTACAGGTTTATTACAATAGTTTTTAACAGGTAAAAGGTCAAGGTACAAATAAAAATGGTTTGTTTTACTGTTTCCTTTCTCTGCAGAAGGATCTATTATATCTACTACTGTAAGTCTTGAATTTGAAACCCTTTGATGCAAATCAGCATCACAAAAACAAACATTAAATGTTTTACGGTATTTTAAGAATACAATTCAAATGGGAAGGCGCATCGCCAAAATCTGAAAGCAAAATCCAGTTAAATTGCATCTTAATTACACTTTTAAACAGTTTTTAAATAAGCAGGAACATAATATACCCATTTTGTTCTCACTACAGTACACTGCTGCCTGTCCGTCTTAGAATTAATTTTAATATATGACTCATGAATAAGGCATTATGTGATCTTACAGGATTAGATGTCTCATCATGACTCATCAGAGACCTTTGGTGGCAAGTGGATCTGCAGAGCCACAATAAGGCAAAACAGGAAGGTGCGATAAGGGGAGAGGGTACCGACCTCCACTGTGATAGAATAAAGTATTGAATTATTTGGATTCAAAGAAGATGGAAATAAACTGTCAGTGCCGTTATGTGCAGGTCCGTTAAATAATTTTGCCTTAACTTAAAAAAAAAAAAAGGGGGGGGGGGAAGAAACTACTGTACGTTATCCCGACCACAGTCCAGCTGTCTGGGTAATAAGTTGGATGAAATCTGCATAAATTTACATCTGAGGATAAAGGTGGGTGGGGAACTTGTTTGAAAATCTGAGAAGCTATCAGAAGAAAAAAAAGGAATAATATCTCAGCTACAATGGATGATACAGAGATGAATCAAAGTCGAGCAAACTCTTTCAGAAACCCCATAATTGGATTTTCTTTATCTTTGTGAGTAATTACAAAAGGACATGTTAGGAGCTGCGTCTGCTCATGACTTTGGTGGCATTGACTCCAGTCAGGTCGAAATATTTCTCACGGTATCCCCGTTTCCATAAGAACGTATTTAAATCTGTATTTATGAATAGCACGATGACGAATGCTTAAATTCATAATGTGCATTAAACTGCAGTCGGCTCTGTACACAAGCAAAGTTTTTATATTGTTTTAGATGGAATGACTAATAACTTCTTAGCAAACTTGGAACAATTTATCTCACACACACACACACACAACACACACACACACACACACACACACACACACACACACACACACACACACACACACCTATTCGCTGCCACCAATTAAATATATTTCCAAAGAGAAGGCAGATGTAGGTGGCATCTCCCACACACTGGCCTTATCACACAGGCAGGAATGAGCCACAAAGGACCAGTGTTCTCAGCCTCCCACATGAAAGCAACTAGTTTGAGTCATTACCGATATATATTGATGACGATTTACTTTCACAGAGGCCCTCATTATAAACTAATACACCTCCACTGGCCTACTGAATTGTTCTTTTTGTGTGTGCGCGCGCGCGTGTGTGTGTGTGTGTGTCTACACAAATAACACAGATAACTCTATTTCAAAAATAGTTTAGTTTGGCTAATTAAGGTAGTTAACTCCTGCTCTGATAATTAACCAATTCTCACGTTGCACCTTTCTGAAGCATTCCTGGCATTCATTACAGCCACCTTCAGCTGATTCTTGTTTTGGGGTTACTCTGCATATAACTTCCAGGTTATGTATTCTCATTTTCTTCATGCAGGTCTTTTTGCGAGCTGGACTTCTGTTTTGTTTTTGTTTTTTAACCTGGGCTTTCTTGAGCCCCTATTTGAACATACCCAAACCTACCACAGCAAGTCACTGTTTCAGCAATATAAAACTCTCAGTTGCTTCCCATTAACTAACAGTTTCATTCTTGCAGCTCAATAAGAGAATTTAACTTTCATTTTTATTCACCCCTCTCTTATTGAGGGGTGTTTATACGGTTTATCCCAAAGTCAAGGGTATTCCTGAAAGTTCAAGTAACAAAACAAATATTAAGTAACCGGCTTAACTTAAATATATATATTGCTGTGTAGCTCAATAAAATAAAAAACAATGAATATCTGATATTAAAATCACTAGTAATGGAAATTTTTAATAAACGACAAAATAAAATAATCAAAAATCAAGAAAGGAAAAACAGAATATGAAGTGGCTTACTCAGTGCAGTACAAACAGCATAGCAAATATCAGATGATGTATAGTTTAGTGTACTAGTGTACTGCAGGGTTGAAACAAGCACCTACAAAACCCAGTTCTTAGTTGAAGATCATGTAAGCAGTGCGTTGTATCACAAAAGATTTTAGATGTAGCTTTTTCAGTGCAGCATATTTGTCCCAGACCTTCACACCAGAGGGAGGCAGTGATGTGAGGGGTCATGTTCATACACAATCCAGGTGGTGGTTGGCTTTCGGCGGCTCAGCTCAGATTGCCGATGCAGAGGAGCAGAAAGAGTGATGTAGTCCCCCCCTCCAGAAACTTTCACTTTAATCATTTATATGTACCATGGAGGTGTTTAAAGATAATAGCAGAGTGCTGCCTTTATCCATTTCATTATATATTATAGTTTTGGAATACCTTGATATTATTATCGTTTAACTAATTTAAGGCTGATGGGTATTCTGTCATTATCACACAGTATAAATATATTTCATCTATATTTCATCTGAGTCTGGAGAGATTTACTTTTCACAATCACCTCAAGTTCTCCAAAACTGCTGTGATGGGCTATGAAGGTAGTTTGGCAGCATTTAAGCAGAATTTATGCTCTGCCCGAACCAGTTTAATAGCCGGACCAATGAGTACTACTCATGAATCTGAAGGGGTTCCTCGGACCATGTCATTGCTTGGCTCCTTTTCCAGGAGCAGTTGAAAATAAAGAAAATAATGACCTGGCGCTCCCACTCTTTGCCCCTCACACACAACCCACGTTTTTATCCCGTCACATCAGTCACTTTGAAAAGCTGGGAGTGACCCGTGTAATGATGTTGAGTTACTCCAAGCCAAACATTCTTGGCCTCTGGCCTCCAGTAGTCTTTTCAGGGATTGCAACCCCTCTGACCCCTTAGTAACAGTGAGGCAAAGTAATTTAAAAAAAGAAAAAAGGAGAGATAAATGTTTGTAATAGGCCATGACATATTGTCGGTATCTATTAGAATGGTATGAGGTTTCTTTTAATTGTTCCTGTTTGGCTAACTCTTGATTATTTTTAAGCTTGTGGGATGCATTTTTTGCCCTTTTATGATGGTGCATAACCCCAGGCCACTTTCCACCCCATAGCAAACTGTGGGAACTTAAAATGCATTTTTCACTGGAAGCATAATCTTTAGGTTTCTTGGTCGTGGACAAAGCAAATTGATATTTACTGATAGTGTTCAGGGTTTTTGGATTATGTGAAATTGTTCTATAATGAAAGAAGAACAAGCAAAAAACAACACCTGCATGACTTGCAGTTTAACAACTTACTTTGGGGTGATCATGTTGTAGCAGACTGGAATAGCGTGTCTTTCACATAGCTTGTTGACCTAAGATTAGTCTGAAAGCTCAAGTAACCTACACAAGGCCTGAACCATATCAGAAAAAAGCGGCCGCTCACTGGTGCCTCACTGGTTAGGACACATTGGATGTGGACTAATAGTAGTGGTTATTTTCTCTATGGGAAAACTAAATGGTCCCGTTCATCATTTCAGATAAGTTGAAAAATGGGGCATCCATCTTTTCAGAGTAGTCAATAGTCATCAGACAATTTTATTTTGTGCATATGTGTAAGGCGACACTCTGTATCTCTTGTCTCAGAGGATTGGTGCGCCCGTGTCTTGGCACACCAAGCTGAACTTGGATGCCTTGTGCCAACAAACAATTGACTGAGCTTTTAACAGGCAACATTAGTTGTTTTGGAGTATAGCAGATTTTTTTTTTGTTGTTGTTGTTTTTTTACATTTTTATTTTGTTGTTTATTTTACATCACATTTCCTCAATTTGAGTATTCACCTAGTCTCTCTTTGACTTTTGAGGACAACATAAAAAAACAAGTCTTTGTTTCTCTGCACGGGCTGCAACCTGCATAACTGAAGAGACAGATTTTATTGGGATTTGTCTCCATTTGCAGTCTACTGGTACTTTCAGTTGTTGACGTGTTGGAGGTTGTCATTCATCTGCCTTGTTAGCCATTATACTTTTCGCTGAAAACCAGTTGTTCCGAAGAGCTTAGACAATTTCCTGTTTCCACTGTGATGATACATCCTCTGGACAGGACCTCTTGATTGGAAACTTGTTGCAATCATCTGATGATCATGATCAGCCTGAGTGATTGTTAGTGGAAGACCTCAGTCCTCTAGGCTTGCCCAGATCTCACTGTCAGAGGTGTATAGGAAGCACCACAGCTTTATAGAGTGCTTGCTTTGTTTTTCTTGATGTCCAGACCTTCTCCAACATCTATTTGGCTGTAGCTCCAGAGCTGACGCCACCTAGAAATGCAAGTTTGTGTTGGATGACCATGGTTTTTGGTTGACAACAGGCACCATTTCTTGCCTCAAGTGTTTAGGGAGTGAGTGACAGGCTGGAGGATGATGCACCAACTGGAGGGTGGTGGTCGGTCTTATTCCTGGGGTTCCTAGTTGTGATCAGTTGACCTATAGGAAAAAAAATAGCGTTTTTTTTTTTTTTTTGTTTTTTATTTATTTATTTTATTTATTAACGATACCTTGAATCTATTGAATGTGGTCGCCATTGTTAGTCCAGCAGGTTCAGTTGCTTGTTCCAACTGTGCTAAACATACTGTTAAAAGCCATGGGTGTTGGTCTGCCTACAACACTCAATGGCGTCCAGCGGCTGACTGTCAGAGTGGTGTGTCGGGGTCCTCGGCGTACTGTCGGATGCTCAGGCCCTGTAATCCTCCTCAAACAATAGTGGATGTGAGAATAGAAGGGAGGTTAAGCCCTGTAGGTCTTTTGTTACCATGTGCTCGGGCATTTAAATGCACAGAGGGATAGTTGTGTTTTGCCACTCACTCGAACTGGAGATTCATTTGTATTCGCTGCCAATTATGAAAGGTTTTTTCTGCTGCATATTAATTTTCTTTTTTGTAAGTTGGCATAAAAGCGTACGTAGAGAATGTACATATCCATTTTTTCTGCCCCTTCTCTCGTTCTGCCATTTGGACCTTCACATCACTATTCCTTTACATCTCTGACACTGTGTTCGTGTGGTGCACGGTTTAATTAAAAACCATCGCATCCTGCTGCTGCTTCTTTCATAGCTTCATGTGAAAACACATGCACTAGACTTCAAAGTGCATCCCTCACTGATTAAGTGAATTCTTGTTTAAATGCATGTGTCACGGATACTGACGTTGGACAGCTGTGTCGCCTCCCGAAATATCCTCAGCCTCTTTGCTGACAAAGTTACTGACATTCCCTAACATCGCGGTTCAGGGATGAACCAGAGAAGGTTGGTGTAAAACAAATCCTTCCTTCCAAAGGCATGTTGACATCTGATTCCAATAAAGACATGTTGTTGTTTTTTTGTCGTATGCTGACAATTTTTGTGTGTTCAAGTTAAATGGGCTAAATGATGATGTAGGCCACAGAGGTAGGAGGACCAGGAGGGGCTCAGAATGACTACAATGAGGAAGTTCCCTGGATACACGTGCTGCAACAGACGACTCTTGGTACACATTCCACCACAGAGGGGTCATGAGAGCAGATTCCACGGTGCCTGTCTGAGGGGGGAGAGGCTGCTGGGTCCATCCTCTTTTCAGGCCCCGACAGCAGCTGCTCTGCCTGGCTTGGGCGCAACAGTGACCTCACACCCCGGAGATATTTTAAAGGGTGCCAGTCAGCATGAGCTCTGAGTAGGTAGGAGCTCGACAAGTGCAGTTTTAACACATCTGCTGCACAATGTTCGAGAGATCCGAGGGAGATCCAGCAGTGGTGTAAGAAAAAGTATCTACTTGCAAGTTGGTCGGTTTTCAGAGCCCCTTAGTGGGAAATGATCCGTTAGACATCTCTTTCTTTCCTTTTCTGTTTCTTGTTTCTTGCAATGCTGCGGCATTGCCCTATTCCCCGTTTCTCGTCATCCGGCGCTCAGAGAAAGATGCCGAATGTTTCCTGTAACAAAGACAAGACTCTACACGTCCCGCCAGAGAGCCAGGCACTCAACCCGGCTGATTCTAAAGACATCGCCACGGAATCACTACCTCCTCAGAAAGTACTCAAGATATTCAGCATCAACATCATTGCTCAGGGTTTGCCTTTCTATCGTAGACGGGTGAGTGTTGTACAAATTCAGCCAGTCGCAGAGTTTGGGTTTGGCCGATCCGGAAATGCCAGAGGTCATCGAACACGCTTACCCCTTTTCACCTTGGTTGGTGTTGCTTTTATAGCTGCCTGTTTATAGAAAACGGCAAATCAAAAAAAATTAAGCTGCTGTGTTGCTTTCGTTCATTACTACTCTAGTAATAGTTGGCATTGACAGGGTTATAACTGAGTTAAGTGAATGTTTTTCTGACAAATTGTAAACGTAATAGACTTGTTTTTGTTACATGCTACAGGTAAATTAAAAATCTTGACCTAACCCCCCCACTCCTTTTTCCCTTTTTTTTACATTTCTTCTTTCTTTTTCCACAGTACGTTGATTGGTAGTGATATGACTAGTTAAAAATGGCAAATGTAAATACAAATTTGTCCTTTTGTCATCTCACTATGCACTGATACAAGCTTCGCGTGCCCCAGCTCCACCCATGGCAGGGGACGGACACCAGCTTATAGCCTTAAAAAGGCCGTAAACTACGAGCCTATTTTTAGGGGAAGTTTTTGGATAAAGTATTGATTAAATGGAAAACCTTAAAACAAAAGTGTCTTCAGCTGTTGACTTATGATAGGCTATAGAGCAACTGATCCTGCCTTCTATGACATTTGTTTTTTCTTTTCTTTTTTGTTAATTGGCAAATACGTTTGCATTTGTTTGTTTTTGTTTTTTTATTTTAATGTAGAAATCAGTATTGTTGGTTGAAGCCATAAAATTACGTTACTACTTAATTACGGCATTAGTGAAGTTGTTTGTAATGGTAACACTGCTCGCGTTGAAACTTTACTTTGACACATGTGCTCACTGGAATCGGTGTGATAATTTAATGTGATTGGAAATTAATGAAATCAGATTGCCAGAAATCAGCTTCCCAACTGAAAACAAAAAAAACTTTAAGACCACCTTATTGTCAGATTAAATGCACAAAAGTACAATTCAAAGTCTATAACACAGTTGAGGGTTGGTTTCGTTTTCACAATTTTGCAATGAAGCGACTAATACAGGCAGTAATGTAGTAATTTTATTTTGTCAAACTTTTTTTTTTTTAAATTGTCGGTAAGAAGGAATGTGTGGTTTGTTAGGTTTTTTTGTTGGTTTTGTTTTTTTCCCTTAAAATGTTACTTAAAATCAACTTCATTAGCTGGAAAGCTTCCTTATTGTACTCAGCAACATTGTACTCACGCTCCATTTAAAGAATCTGATTTGGTGGGGAACTTAAATATTACCTACTGTAATATCTTAGAGCAGCGACAGCAGATGTTTTTATTGAGCCATAATTGTCCTGGTGACCTTTCGCCAATTATCTGGGTGCTGTGATTGGAGTTATAGATAGACTAGTCAAAAATGTCACCACTGGATCTGCCACAAAAGTCTGAAGAGGACTCTGATGGTGAGGAGAGAGGTTGTGAAATATGGACTGAAATAGAAATGAGAATAGATGTGACAGTCACTGGGGAGGGTCGGCTTGTCCTTTTCTTCTTCTTGGGTTTTCTTCCAGAACAAAGCAAGCTGCTTTGTTGGTTCGATTTTTTAAAACGAAATGTCTGTTAAGATTTGTGCCTTTTATGTAATGGCCTGTATCATACGTTAAAGGGATAAACTGTGGTACGTCACAACAGGCAGTTTCTTCAGTTTAAACAGGAACAGGATGGGTAAACAAAGCAGTGTGTTCTAACAGAGTTCAAACCTTCATTGCACTTTGTTTTACAGCAAAGTGTTTTATTATCTCTAATTACTATGTATGAATATAGCCTATAGTTTTCATGCTGACTAAAAATGTCAATACAATAAAATCCATTCTATGGTGAATGTAGTATAGTAGCAGCGTGTAAAAATCCAAATAGCTCAACAAATTAAATGGAACAAAATAAAATACAATAAAACTGCTAAATAAATAAATAAAGAATAAAGATAAAGAAAAGTTGATTAGCCATTTTTCCAAATCTGAATTATATCTGCCACATCATCATTTATTTGCAGTTTATTGTTTAAAATTGTATTGTGCAGTTTTATTTAGGTTTTTCAGGAGAAACAAAATAACAAAGATGTAGAAGTCTAGAACTCGTGTTTCAAATATGGTACACTTGGCTTTCAAGCATTAAGCAAGAAAACTGCAAAAATAATCGAAGAGGTAAAGTCAAAAGATGAAACTCTTCTATCTAGGGCTGTGCGATATGACCAAAATCTCATCCCGATGTTAAGACATCTATCGTCCCGATAACGATATAAATCACAAGAATGTAACATTTTCTGTAAATTCTGTGAATCTCGGGCAGCTCGACTTGGTGAAGTGTTTCCAGCTGCGCGTCATGTAGCTGGAGTCGAGTGTTTTAACCGATGCATGAAACAATACATTTTTAGACGTAAGTTGTAACAGCCGCCGTTTTCTTTGTGCATATTTATTACACAGTGTGCTGCGGGGAAAAGCCTGTTCTAACCTTTGAGTCTAAGGTTTATTTTTTAGCACCTGACGGCTCTTTTTTGCTTCTCATCCGTAAACACTCTGCATACTCTTTCATGTGATTCCGTTTATTTTGAAAAGTCTCATCAGGATCTTGAACTTTATTGTGAAAGGTTAGTGTGGAAACTAAACCAGCGGACACGCGATGGTTTTGCCGTCGTTGTTGCTAATGACAACGCATAAAAACAGGCGCTTGTCCATCTGTAGTGTGGTTGTATTAAAAATAAGACAAAGAGAGAACTTTAAGAAATGAATATAGCCACTACAGTGACCATCAAAACCATGAAAAAATATTGCCCTAAACAGTTTACTTTACGACACCACAAAACAAACGTTAGCGTAAAAAATGAAATGATAGACGTTTTTATATCGTCATCCGATATATATCGTTATATCGAACAGCCCTACTTCTATCTTCATCACTGTTTATGCAGCAGACTCGGCAATGGAAATACCAAAGCATATGTGCTTTGTTTAAGAATGCTTTTGTTTTACTATTTCGTTGGTTTAACACACACACGTATGTCTGAAAAGAATCTTGAGCTTCCATGTTGTTTACTTTGGAGTAAGAACTAAATGAAAAGGTCCCACAAGGCCGGTTCTTGCTTACACTGCCGCATGTAGAGCACATGCCACGCGGACTATGCTGCATATGTGACAGCTGTCAGTGAATGGCATAGCAGGGGTTTCTTATGGTCTCTGTGGTTTAGTATAACCTGGCAGTATGAACGCATTTTAAGCTTGGACTTTCTGCTTTGTTGCTCACAAAATGTTTTCTTACAATTATTATTATTATTATTTTTTCAATTGTTAAAGAGGTTTTACTAAGAGGTTATTTCTTGCATCTATGTGTCTGCTGAGTATCTCAGAGGGTTGCACCCAGGCTCTAAACCTTCTCATACTCTGCTGATTAAAAATGAAACTACTTTTAGTTGCTCCCTTATTAAGAAGAGGTCTCCACAGCGGGTAGCTCCACATGTTGGTTTTGTTTTGTTTTTTTTAAAACACCAGATGCCCTTTCTGACACACCCCAAAGGGTTTTGTCTCCTCGTGGGATCAAACCTGAGATCTTTCACTTGTGAGGCAAACATATAAACCACTAAAGTTTGGAGCTACTGCTGTGCTGATTAAAATAGTCTTGAATTACTCCAGTATTAAGGTGACCAGGGGAATCCGCACTGCCATCTCCTCCAACAGCTTGATACCTATTCTGGCTGCCGGAAACACAGTCACGATATAGAACATTAACAGCAGGACATTTTAGTTGGGGTATTAATTTTCTCAGCCACCACACCCTGCACTGCAGGGCTGTTGAGTAAGGCAATCTATTCTTGCCCATAGCAGCTATGCCTGCATCAACGGCTATCAGCAAGAAGCATCTGTGGTTTGAGCAGGTGCTCCGGGCATGCTACAACTTTCTTTAGCAAGTTTCTCACACCTCAGTCTCCTGTAGGTTTGTCCATGAGTAAGTTCAATAGTGATACAGATCTATATATTGGCCTGCTTTAGACTGTTCATTAGGATTGTGAATTTTAATTATACCAGTGGTTAACCGGGCTGAGACTTTTCCAGTCCGGTACAGTTGTTGCCATTTTAACTGCTCTCTTCTAGAAAAACTACAAACCTGCTACTGTTATGAAAACCTTTATGGTGGTTATGGCAGCAAAGATCTGATGCTTGTTTTTCAGGTTGTATCTCTACATCCTTCTCTCCTAGTTCCCCTGGGCACTTTAAGATTATATGTGTCATCAGTTTTATGATGATGCATATAGTTTAGGAACATCGTGTGCGATTGTAGTCATATTTTATATGTAGTCAAAGAATTGGTCATAATAAACAAGATTCTTCACTGTGTGTATTATGACTGCGGACATGCATAGAAGTATACTCTCGCTTGACTAGTTGGTGATGGCATACATGCGCAGGTCGGTAAATCTGGTTTCCTGTCTATTTTTGAGAACATGTGCCTGGAGACACTGAAGCCGCGCTCACTTTCGATTCGAGTCGTGTGTCCCTGACCGGTACGTGACAACTAGGGTGACATGATATACACACCGGATCCTGCTCCTTGGAGGTCAGATGATTTGATGGAGGCTCAAGTGTTATTTGTCTTTGGTCAACTGTTTTCCGTTCTGAAAACCTTGATTTCACCTCAGTTTATTGCAGTGTTTTGACTGTGCTTGCTTATTTTTAGCAGAGGAGGACAGAACTTGGCTTCCCAATTAAATGTTTGACGGTACACACTAGATGCACTATTTACAAGACTGTGTAACAGGAGCAAAATGCAGTTCTCTGCTGCTTTATAATGAGAAATGGCCACAGCAAAAACACGACTACAGCAACACTGAAATTGCCTGATTTAAAAATATGGACTTTGTTAACAAGATCAGCAAGACCATTTAATTGATCTTTATTATGCACTGTCCACTTTAAGTAAGGTAAATTATTCTGAGTGCCCAGCATATTTGGAATAATTTAATTTTAAACTATCTTTTTTCACCTTAA